TGAAATGAAGCACAATTAAATTCTGCATCGAATTGTGTATAAAGTGATATTTTTTCATGAAATCAAAAATGTTAAATATTAAATTGAAGTTGAAAATTCAAACAAATAGTCCGACATTTGGGCGAGTGTCCATACCACCGGGTTGGAATATCAAAAGCAAGCACTCAAAAAAACTTACTCCTAGCGCCACCAACCTATAAGTTGTGTATTGTGAGAGCCAACTTCAGACAGATTGTATATATGTGACAACTATTTTTTGACATTTGTAAAACCGGCAATTAGGTGTTTGTGTTTCAACTATAAACATTAAACATGCGAAAATTAATTTTGCTTTTTTATTTATTAATCATCATTTTACTGGTCTCGAGCAAAATATGTCGCAATTCGGGCATTTGAATTTTTTCTTCATTGGCTGGTGAACATTTTTGACGTGTTCCCGCAAAGTTTGTAAACGAATGAACGATTTTTCGCACACTTCTAAATTTCAGGATAAAAATGAAAGTAAAGCACAAAAAACAACCAATAATGAATCAAAAAAATAAAAATGTAAAAATTAAGAAAAAAAAGTCACAGTAAAATGATGATTAATAAATAAAAAAAGCAAAATTACTTTTCGCATGTTTAATGTTTATAGTTGAAACACAAACATCTAATTGCCGGTTTTACAAATGTCAAAAAATAGTTGTCACATATATACAATCTGTCTGAAGTTGGCTCTCACAATACACAACTTTATTGAGTGAATGCTTTTGATATTTCGACTTGTTAAAACGATGCATTCACGTTTTTTATTGTCGATTAATATTTTTTTATGAATAAAACATTTTTTTAAAAGATTGGCAATCATAATATTCATTAAATTAACCACTAGAAACATATTTGTGGATTCATTTCGTTTTGATATTAGAATAGTAATCGATACGCAAGTAGATGGCGGTAGGATGTAAAAATCTTTTTGCAAAAGTGACATTCCAGTACAAAATACGTTTTGATATTCCTACCCGATACCACACACCACAGAAAAAACCACTTTTCCCCATTACGAACCACAATTTATATGATTTTGATCCAAAAATAACCTAAAAATCCATATTTTCATTGTACTTGAAAAAGATTCAAGTTCATGTTTCTTGAATCTTTAACATTGAAAATAGCGCTTACAAAACTATTGATATCAAATAAAAAACCTCTATCGAGGTGAAGAACGAGCGACGAAACCAAAATTTGAAACACAAAATTTCTGATATCAATTTTGTGACGAATATAGTTGGTAGATATATTTTCTGTGTACTGTGAATATAAACTTAATATACATTTGTAAATTCGGAACGTTGCTTCATTGCATCAGTATGAACTCATAGTAAAAAGGAGAGAATTTCTGCAACGTTTTGAATATACAAATGTATATTAAGTTCATATTCACAGTTCACAGAAAATATATCTACCAACAATTTTTGTCACAAAATTGATATCAGAAATTTTGTTTTTCAAATTTTGGTTTCGTCACTCGTTCTTCACCTCGATAGAGGTTTTTTATTTGATTTTCAAATTGCACGCGGTTACAATGAGTCAGAAAATAATTAATAAATAAATAAATACATAAATAGATAATAAATCACAGCGGACGGCAGTTCGCGCGAGTGACAAAACCACATTAGTGTGTTGAAAAGTCGACTTGCTATATATACACGTAATTTCCAAGAAAAAAAAAATTCGAAAATCGGTCCACCTGTCTTCAAAATATGGTCCTTTCAAGAAAAGGTTCAAAATTCAGTTCTACGGCCATAGATGGCACTAAATGAGTTCGTTGACCCCTGAAACATTGATATTCTTATTCTAGAGCTCAATACCTTTCCAACGATACCTCAAACGTCGAAATCGATCAATCCGTTCGAAAAATTTGGCATTTTAAAAATTTCATATGATTTTTCTATAAAATTCATTTGGTATGTGTATGTGTCTATCCGCGATTTTACGTACTCGATTCTGATCTTTTTGAAAATTTCTGTGCTTAAAAAACATAAGACTTTTTTGTTCCGGCACTTTTCGATATGGCCGCCATGTTGGCCGTGGCCGGCCTCCAAAAGTCACTTTTTGACTTTTGTCCCTACGGACACCGAGGCACATCCACTTGACACACCCCGGACATATGCATATCATTGGAAAGGTCTTAAAGCCACCTATCGAATGGTGTCATTTGCGGTCCTAAAATATCAATTTTGGTTTCGTCACTCGTTTTTCACCTTGATAGAGGTTTTTTATTTGATATACAGTGCCGTCAGAAAATTTGAGACCAAGCTCATTTTTTTCATACAATTTTATACAAATTGTCGATTTTTTGAAGCAATATTTAATATATTTCGGAAATAGCTAGACCCATAAATTTTTATACACTTATTATTTTATTTACAGAGAGTAAACTAGTGAAGTTTTACCAAAAACTATCTACGCGTTTAAAAAATATTCGAGGTTTGCACTTTCAAGTGTGAAAAATTACACATTTTGTATGAAAAATAATCCTTTTTCACACTTGAAAGTGCAAACATCGGATATTTTTTAAACGCGTAGATATTTTTTGGTAAAACTTCACTAGTTTACTCTCCGTAAATAGAACAATAAGTGTGCAAAAAATTATGAGTCTAGCTGTTTCATAAATATATTAAATATTGCTCCAAAAAATCGTCAATTTATATGAAATTTGGAAGTTCTGGAAACCAGGCCAAATCCTGAAAGTCCACCAATCAGCCAATTCCACCGGATTTTGATTTTAGGCCAAAAAGTAGTTGGCTGTATGGTGTTCACTATGTGAACAAAAATTTGCTTATATTTGCCGATTTCCCATCGGAAATGCCAGAAAAATCGATCGGGAGTTTTTTTGTGATTTTGACTGCCTTTCTGCTGTTTTTCGTGTTTCAGTACTATTTGCTTCTAGTAACACCAATCGAAATATACTGGTGAGAAACTATACTAATAACTATACTAATAAGATACATGCATCTTATTAGTCTTCTGACTAGTAACATTCTAATAACTATACTTATTACTATACTTATTAGTGCAAAAAAATAATAAGTAATAATATAGTTTGATCTTATTAGAATGATAAGATAATAAGATGAATAATAATATACCGAAAATGCCCAACTGTACTCGATGGAATATGGCTTATGGCAATCGAGTTGCGTTTGTATATTTCCGGCTGTGAGTTTGGCGGAATATACGCAACATATTGGAAGTATAAATTAAAACGTAAGGATTCGTATCTAACTTCATATCTATCACACATGCAATTGTTTGGACAGTGAAAGTTTTTATTGCGATTAAAATGTCGAATTACGTTCCAACAAAACAGCATTTGCGGGAAGCAATGCTTTTGTACTTTAATCAAAAGAAAAGTGCTGCTGAATGTCATCGTTTGTTGTCGGAAACGTATCCCAAATATTCAATTTCAATAAGTGTATGTGAAAAATGGTTTAGAAGATTCAGAAGTGGTGATTATGACACGGAAGACAAAGAGCGTCCAGGCCAAACGAAAAAATTTGAAGATGAAGAATTGGAATTGTTACTCGATGAAGATCCATGCCAAACGCAAGAAGAACTCGCTAAATCATTGGAAGTTACTCAAGCAACCATTTCACAACGTTTAAAAGCATTAGGGTTCATCCAAAAATTTGGAAACTGGTTGCCGCACGAATTGAAACCGAGAGATGTTGAAAGGCGTTTTACCATCTGTGAAATGCTGCTCGCAAGACAAAAAAGCAAGTCATTTTTGGATCGAATTGTTACGGGCGATGAAAAGTGGATCCACTACGATAACCCAAAGCGAAAAAAATCATACGTTCGACGCGGCGAACCAGGACCGTTTGGTGGGATCAAAAGGGTATCGTGTATTATGAGCTGCTGGAACCGGGTGAAACAGTCACAGGAGATCGCTATCGACTACAACTGATGCGATTGAAGCGAGCATTGGACAAAGATCGGAAAGAATGGAGGGGAAAACACAACCGGTTAATTCTTCAACATGACAATGCTCGGCCACATATTGCAAATGTCGTCAAACAATACTTGTCGACAATAGGATGGGAAGTTCTACCCCACCCGCCGTATTCACCAGACATTGCTCCTTCTGATTACTACAATGCCGACGAATTGCAGAAAAATTGTTTTGATTTGGTGCGCAAGCCACGAACATTTTGATAAAAAATATCATTGCACATCAAAGTCGTTGGAGGAGAGAGAGAGTGAATTGTGTTGCTTAGTTGCGACGATTTTGTTGAGGCTGACTGTACGATCCCATCAGTGGACTGAGTAGGCATTGAGACAGCAGCGGCAACAAGTTGGCAATCGGTGGAATTTCCGGTGTCATTGTTTGCCTTTGTTGTGACTTTCGTCGATTTCGACCATGAATTGGTGGCTTGAACGAGGCGAGTTTCTTGTTTTTTGGATTTTTGTCAGTTTGTTGGGATGGTGGAACTGATTTAGAGTTTTTATTGCTAGGCAATGAATTTGCAACAACTCTTTGGCTTTACGGCCGTTGGCCAAATGGAATTGTCCATAATAATGTCGAAATAACGATTTGTGTCTGTATTTTGGCTCACCAGTTTGATCACCTTCAAGTCACCTACAACACTGTAACATTGTGTGATTTCAAATGATCGGTGATATCATCAACAGTAGTATCTGGCCGAAACGGTAAAAGATAGACCGTTTTTGTTTCATACAATTTTGAGTTAATTGTATGACCGACTCGATTTCCAAAATCACAATTTGCCACTTTGGAATTCAAATTCAGGTTTGAATTTGTGGTGGCTGTAGAATTCCTACCAACGACTTTTAACTTAAGATGTGAAATTGCCATTGAATTAGGCTTTGAGCTAGCCTTTGTCGCTTTCGTTGGTTTTGACACCTTCCATTTGCGTGGATTTGACACTGTGTTTGTCGACATATTTAATCTAGTCGATAGACTGACGGATCTGCAACTCTTGCGTAAGATTTTCGGCTTTGGACGCACGGTCGGAACATCAGTGGTCAAAATATCACACGGAATCGATATTGTGCTGGTGTCATTGTTTTCATTTTCAACAGGGACAATCACATCGGTGCTGTTTGCATCGATATTAACAGCGATATTGGCTTATATTTCCATTTGATCGATTGTAGTCGATGGAATGTCAGTATGAATTACTGAAGACTGTGTCAAAATTGGAGCGGAGAATATTTTATTCGCGCCATTATTTTCCTGTGCCGAAGTGGCTGCGTTAAAAACCTTCAACTTTTCAATTTGAGGTTGTATAGTCCATTGAATTTCCGTTAAGATTTTAGCACTATTCACAAGAGTTGAAGCAATGCCATTTACCGTGAAGGTAAGACATATATCGCAATACCACTGTAAATTCTTAATTGAAACCGAAAAATTTACACACTAACAAAATACACGGGAAAAAAAACGAAATAAAACCAACGAAAGCAATAGGAGGAATAAAAATGTAAACACGATAAATACTAATTTGAGTTTGAACAATGCTTATAAACAAGAAAAAAAAAATTCTTTGAGAAGAATGATGCTTAAAACCAGAGACGGTTCGTTCGTTCGTAGTCATTTTTATTGAATGTTTGTTCGTTCTTTCGTTCGTAGAAAATAAAATGTTCGGATTGTTCGTTCGTTGTTCGTAGGAAAAGTATGAAAAAAAAATAATTATTTTATTAGTGAAATTGAAAGTAGATTATATTTTGTGAATTTTATAAGAAAAAATTGAACAAAACAAATATTATTTATTTAAAATTAAAATAAACAGCGTATTAATCAATATAGTAATTAAATATAGATATTTTCCTTTGAAAATTTCACTGATAAGACCTTTAACTACATTCTTATTGTATTTCAAAATTATTTAAATTCATCTGTTGAGATGTTTTGAATCGTTAATTTGAAAAATATTTGAAATTTCTATCTCTAATATCAAAGTTTTTTTTATTTATTTTAGGTCAGAACTCTATATACTTGAATTAATTGTAACAATAACCTATCAATTGTAACAATAACCTATCTCTTAGATACTCCGTTTTTGACGTCTGTCAAGTGTACATACACTTTTTTCTCCTCACACTTCCAACTACTGACAAATGACCAGCCGTTTTTTTCCATTCATTATATCCCGTGAATAATCAGCATTGTATGTGCGGATTTCAAAATAAAAAAAGAGAGTTTAGGTATATGAACAACAGTGTATTTATGTAAAATTTGTTATTTATAATAACTTTTGAATGATTTATCGTTTTTCTATCGAGAAGCAACCGTTTGAGCGGTAAATGAAAAATGAATTGGGTTCTTTCATTTTAGAACAAATGCATTATACATAACGACAACGATTGATGGAAAATGAAAGATCGAATAGAAACAAGCAACAATGGAATGAATTTGTTTGAAAGACAACTGAACAGATAACAGAGAACCCAACCGAAATATAAATGCTCTGAGAGAGAAATGGTCTCTCTATCTTTTCATTTTAAGACATGTACGCGGCCGTAATTACAACGCCGTTTCAACTTCAATTTAATCTATACATATGATAAATTTTAAATATGTTTTACATGTGATCAAATGGATAAGAGAAAAAATCCTCATCGTAAATGATTACACAGCATCATTCATTTATCGATTTGATTTTTTTTTCATTTTACTCTTATTGAATCTGTTTTATAAATATGAATTTATGATCGAATATCAAAATTTTGATATTTCTACCAGATGTTTTCAAATAAGACAACAGCAGACATTTCACATCAAAATACTGCAAATATAATTAATACATTTTTTAGTTTATCCATTGAAGCATTTTATTAAGACAAAATTTTGTTCATTTCATTAGAAAAGTTATTCCATGAAACTTGCCAGAAGCATGATTGTAGTATAAATTCTGTTAGTAAGCTGAAAAAAGGTAATAATTTCATAAAATAAATTTATTTATTAATAAAAAAAAAATCACCGTTGAGGCCATATCATAATCCAAACACTTGAATGGACCCTGAGTTAAGTTAACTCCATTTTGCATACGATTCAACATGTGTGCTATATCCTTTTGTTGTGATTTCGGTAAATGATACCAGGCTAAGTTGCATAGTGAATCGCAAATCTTTTCATTCTGCAAAAAATGAAAAAAAATTGATTTTTGATTTTTGATCATTTTTATCAATGATCATAAGTACTGCAGTTTTAATGTTTTCTCCTAGTTAAAAAAAAAAAACAAAGAAAATATTAGTTTAAACAAAGTTTGTAGAATGATAGTAAAAATGTTCAATCGACATAACCGACCCATGTAGCAGATGACCAGAAGTGCAATATAGGATACGACAGCATTGCCATAGCCTACAAAGTTAAAATAATAGATTTTCCAATGAAACAATTTTTAAATGGTTGAATTTTTGAAGCTAGGAAAAAGTTAAAGTCAATTCCAAACCGCAAATTGTTAAATTTACTCATCAAAATCACGAAGTACCTGCAGGGAATTCTAACTACAGAAAAAGAGTTAATTTTTAATCAATTATTTCTAGTTGAAATTTGTAAAAAACAAGCTACTACAAAAAAGAATAGTCCAGTGGTAAGTTTTTTACAAATCCTAAAAAAGACTTTGCTTGAGAACAATGCAAACTAGAATATCTTATTAAAAATCTCATCTTACAATCCACTGTGCGAAAATGCCGTATGTCGCACCTATTTAAAATATGAGAAAAAATTAGTAATTTCCAGTGTATTAATATGGGAAGAGTCGCACCAAAGGTTAATAGCGGTGGCCCCAAAAAAGTTTTCCAATAGAAAACATCACTGAACTCCAAAAGGTATCTAAGTCAAATGATTTAATTATAATTATGGGCATAAATGATTTTAACAATTTTTAATGTACTCATCAAAGTCACGAATTTGCAATAAAATATTGCGAAATAGCGCGCCAGATCTGATACTCTGACGATCAACTTGGAGCATTTCTGACAATTTCTCTCCATTTAATTCTATACAAGAGGCACACAATTCAACCGTATTATACGTCATACATTGGCAAAGTTCGATGCAAATTGTTGATACAATTCCAAATGGCATTAAAACAGACTGATAGCTAATATCGACGTAAAAAGCTAGATTTGAATCCTCTTCAAAAAATGGCAATTTTGTTCCAAATGGAGTTATCTGAAGAAAAATGAAAAGAATATATTAAATGAAACCCCTACTGTGAACTATTCGTACCATCACTCCTTTCACCAAAAAGGCCTGAATTGGACCCACACACACAGATCCAATTGAAATGAAAATGACTATCACCAAAATGATATACGAGGTTTGCATCTTTTTAATACTTCGTTCACAAAGCTCGTTAAATGGTGAAGAATCCTTAACATCTGAATAAATGTAATCGCCCGAAAACCGGAATAGAACTCGCAAACGAAATCGATCGGATGTCAAACACTTTATGTATAGCGTCACACTCTTTAAAGGAAAAAAAATGGTAGATCTCAATCGAAAGAGCAGAAAATTCGAACTATGGAAAGTACTTTGACAGTACGAAATAATAACAGTTGGCACTTCCTCCAACTGTTGAACTTGAAATCCGCGGTTTTTTTCTTCAAAATGTGTATTTATTTTAATGATTGAATGAATTAATACATTATTCAAAGTACGTCCATCGCTAGCCACTACTTTTTCCCATTATATAATCCAGTCATTTTTCGACTTTTTTTAAAGTTTGCACATAATTAATCAGAAACGGTGCACTGCATCGATTGCAATGAGTGGTATTCAGAAAGAAGGATGTCCAGTAGGGTGTTTCCCGTGTCTGTAAGTAAAAAAATGATATTTCTCGATTTAAAGTACACAAAATTCTATGACAATGGATCGCATTCGCAAAACGCATAGATTGATATTAAGACTTCCTGAAGAGAAAGACACTCGATTGTACACAATATGTTTGTGTATTGTTGACAACAATTTGTTGTGATATTATCAACATTGTTATTGTGCTCGAAATTCACAATCGAATAAAAATTATACTTGGTGTTTTCTTTTTTTCAGAAATAGTTGTTATTTGTGCCGACGAACGTTGAATTTTGTTGTATTCACACAATTGTTGTAACCATAGTTTTATTCTAAATTCATCACATTATAATAATAATCACAGGAGATGTGTTTTCGAGATGAATTTTGCCGTCAGTTTTCCATTTGATTCTTTTTTTTTGTTTGAAATAACAGAAAATTTGCAAAATTCATCGCTCAACCAAAAAAAAAAAAAAAAACAAATTCAGTTTTGCTTACATCAAACATAGAATATTTACTGTCGATTGTTTTAGCTGATTCAAATCATGACAATACTGCACATTGTATGCAGTATGCGAAAAATGCTGTGTATTTAATCCTGTCCACACAAGTCATGTCAAAAAAGGGAATTTCATATCAAGAATTTCGCAACATTTTGGTTACATCGTCATGCCGAGTGTTATTCGGACATCAGTTGTATCGACGTTTTCATCGAAGTAAGATCACTATAAAGAGGCTTAGATTTTTTTTTGAATATTTAGAACAAAAGTGTCAAGTGTGTATCAAATACTTAACTAATGCAATTGTTTTCTTTTCTGTTCAGCTATTAGATTGAGCATTGCTGGTTTATGGTGTTTATATGCCAATTAAATTGAAATAATTGCAGCGATTAAATTTTTGTTGAAGTGAGTTTGAATTGTTTGGATTGCGTTGACAATGGGACGAAAAAGAAAAGAAACTGGTCGTATTTTCGGCCCTAGGCCAAAAGTTCGCAAAGTTCTGAAAGAAGAGGTCGGACTTTTTGCAATCAAGATATCGGCGACAACAGCTATTAAAGAAGAATATCATGACACAGTGTTACCGTGGTTAGAAATTTTTTTTTCAAAAGATTAGAGAAGAAAATGAGAAGGCAAAACGAACGATCGATTGGACATTTTTCGACGATGGTAATGATTAAATTGTTTTTTTTTTTATTGTTTGTTAATTTTTCAGCATGTTATTTCTAAATTTTATAAAAAAATGCTCATTGTTTTTTCTTAGGTGATGGCATTCACATAATTGAGGAATATTTTTTTGCTGTTCTCGAGACATACAAAGAAGAAGAGAGCATGGGTCCGTGGTTTAGAGAAACATTCGAAGGTTTGGAATGCAACAATCGATTCAAATGGCCAAACAACAATTATCTTGGCAACCATATGAAGTACATGTATCAACAGTACGCACGAAATGTCATAACCAACCTCACCACACATGATGAAAAACGTCTTAATGAGTTTATAAGTTTGAAAGTTTGGGAATTCAACGAGGACAATGTTGATCCAGACTACGTTTTCGATCACATTGATTCAAAAAATACAGTAAATTGGGCAATCCATCGTTACAATTCAACCCGTGATAATGTTGACAGATTGAGCAAACGCTACCGTTTGCTGAGTTGTGCAAGAGACATTGGCGGACCAGCTGACGACAACATCGCAAAAGATACAAATGAAAATTCGTTCGCATCGTTGCCAATCTGGCTTGAGATGCAAGCAAAGATTGATCGTTATCACAATTGGATGCAAGACAACCGCGATATAATTCCTGAAGACTGGGTGTTACCAAAGATCAAAAATCTTTCCGTCATTCCGATTTGCTCACACATGCGGAAATTCGTTAAAATAGATGCAGATGTTCTATACCCGATGATGTGCGAAACAAAAATAATTCCGTTGGATGAGAATGGTTGTCAAGTTAGAACGCGCCATATTTGTGAACATAGAGCGTTTTATTTTGGTGAAATCTTCAACATGGAAAAAATCGGTCAAGTGTTGAAAGCGAACAAACAATTTCACTGCCATGTTTTAAGCGATTTTATATAAAGTTTCGAAGGACGTATTGCAACAGTTGGAGGATGATGAAATGGTTCGAAAAAATTATTATGATGGACATTTCATGTACGTATTGGGAATCGATCCAGGAATGAAAACCTGGAATGCTACGGTCCGACGACATATTGACTCTGGTAAAGAGGTATGTGATTTCTCAAAAAGACATCCCATTTTTATCATGTAATAAATTATTCTATCGAATATGTTGTTTCAGAGTTTGAAATAATGATTAGTTTTTTCAATTCATTTATTTGAAAATCAATTACCATTAGTTAATGTAAATTGAAATTTTCAATTTATTTTTTTCAATTCATTAAATTGAATTTTCAATTACCATTTACATTCAAATTGAGAAATGAATTGAAATTCATTTCAATTGCGTGAAGTTGCAGAGATTCTAGTTGGCCCCCATATTACTTCTCTCGATTGTTTTCAATTTTTTACCGTCAATTCATTTATAATAACATTTTGAATGTAAATTAAAATGTATATATATTTAAAATATTAATATACAAATTAAAAAAAATTAAAATTTGAAACTGTTTTCATTGCTGCGATTTCTTTTAAACTTATTGACACAGCAACCGCGGTTCAACGCGTTATTGTTGAATGTGCGCATTCAAATATTAAACTCACTTTTGACATTAGCTATGCACAAATGCCGCATAAGGAATCAATCTCTGAAACTTCACGCAATTAAATTAATTTCAATTCATTTATCAATTCGAATGTAAATGGTAATTGAAAATTCAATTCAATGAATTGAAAATTTCAATTTACATTAACTAATGGTAATTATAATTGAATGAATTGGCATTGAAAAATTCGAAACACTGTGTTGTTTCTTTTTCGCTTACAGATGAATTTAAAAATAAGTAGCAAAAAGTACCACTACATGACAAAACAAGGAGTGCGAAACGCAAAGGCCAAACGATGGACGCGTCAGTTTATTGCATTTGAACAGAATGATCGAGTCCATAGGCTGAAAACTGGAGAGATTACATAACTCATCGTCTGACAATTATGAAGAGAGCTATTGCAGTATACACGACCGAAAAAGTATACCCGGCCACAATTCGATAAATACATTGAATCAAATCGTGTATCGTGCGGCTCAAATATCTCCGAACTCGCCGATAAAGATAAAGAAGAACATAAGATGTCCAGGCAATCGAAAAATGATAAAAAGTTTCAAGAAAATGAAGGGCAATGTGACTAAATAGGTGAACGAGTACATAGAACATCAAGTTTTTTTTCACCATTCCCTTTGGAAACATTGAGCCATCGTTTCAAGGTGTGTGAGTGGTGTATGCCAGATGACGATGATTGGCCAGACGGATTGAAGCTACCGACGAAAATTGTAACCATGAAGAGCAAGCGAAAGCTGCTACCGGAACGACGAGATGTGCGAGAGGCAATTGGAGGCAATGATTATGAATCCAAATCAAGCTGTTGGTTTTGTGTCTAAGATGAAATGTTTTCGAAAAAACTGGCGACAAAACGCGGCATACGATGCGGATTACAACGTTGTTCAGCTCCCAGACAATATCCGTGAAGAAAATGTCATGGATTTCACAGAAGATTCACAAATGCCCAACGACTATGAAGACGGTTTCCCACACACACAAAACAGTAGTAGTAGAATTGTTCAAATGTATTGGTATATTGCAAATTTACCAATAGTTGTTAAAATATCTATTGGTATTTTCATACAAGCGTCACTACAGCAGCGCAGTTGACATTTGGTCCATCGCGCCAAAACAAGTGTCAAGTATGCTATTGTAGTGACGATTGTATGAAAATACCAATAGATATTTTAACAACTATTGGTAAATTTGCAATATACCAATACATTTGAACAATTCTACTACTACTGTTTTTTCTGTGCATATGTGGCAATACTGAAAACTATTTGGCACCGAGACATTTCGGCTGCAAAGTTAATCATGTACCGAGGTTAGTTGCTTATTGAATTCGATTTGAACTTCAAAATTAGAAAGTGATTGAAAATGATGCATGTAATACTAGCATGCTAATAACAAATTTGTGTGTGATTTCTTTTTGTAGGACATTGTGAACTGTTTGGATGTGATCTCCATCCCAACTTCACCGTTGAACGACTTGCATATCCAATATGGATTCCAATCGTCTAAACGAATAGAAATAAGATTGAAATGTTAAATTAAAAAATTAATGTAATAATATATTACTTGTAGCTGGTTACGATTTAGTGAACCAGGTTTTGTCGGATGAAGTTTAGAAGAGCAAGTATATGTATTGATTGTCACATGTCTAATGGACTTTCAATGCAATATGCGAGTTTTTCGATAATAATTTCATGGATAAATAGAGTATGTGCGGGTGAAGGTCTCAAATGTAAGTATTTATTTATTTAATTGCACTGCATAGCAACTATTGAATTTACTTCCGATTTTGCTTCAGGAAGTCTTAATATGAATCGATGCGTTTTGCGAATGCTATCAATGGTCATAGAATTTTGTGTACTTTGAATTGATAGATACCATTTTTTTATTTTCAGATATGGGAAACACCCTAGTACAGTGTCACACTCTTTTTGGAAAATAGTAAAAACATTAAATATATGCAAAATCCACAAAAGAAAATAAATAATGCAATATCGTACCGATGCTACGATACCAATTCCACAAACACAACGCGTGCCAATCCAAAATTTACCGGCCCTTGCAAAATAAATCAGCGTGTATCCGGCAAGGCTAAAATAATTGAGCGCCAAAAAAGAGCCAAAGTACGAAAGCCAGTATACTTGACAATCTTCCTCAAGTATTCTAATACCAAAAAATCCCAATAAAATTCTTGGAATATCACACAAAACTTTCCACTTTTCCTTTGGTGTTTTTGTTGGCCAATCTTTCTTCAAATTCCGTATTGTTTCTTGGAAATTTAATTGCTTGAACGTTTCTTTCAAAATAGCAAACACCATTGTTTCAGATGAAGTTTTTTTTTATAGTTTCAGTACTGAACTGACTTATTTCAATATAAATCAACAACTACTGAAACCATATTTTTCTGGAATTTAAATGTTTTTCGAAGTAATTAAACAACAAATATACAAAGGATTTCATTTGAAAAAAAAAATCTTTTTGTGATTTTAAATGAACAATTTAATCGAACCACATTAATTTCATTTATTAATCGTTTAAAACGCATTTAAAGACAAAGTAAATGAAAACGTTTAACTTGTAATTACTAGAAAGCTCATACTTAAATGCAAACATGTTTGGATATTTTGTACAAAATTCTCATATCAGCGGTAAATCGTTGAGGTAAATTAGTCAAACCATCAAATGGTTAAACTATGTTCAAGATTCGTTTTTACATTTTATATTGAAATAATTGTATAGTAATAATTTTTTGAAGTAGGTCACACATTTTGTTTTGAAAAAATTCCATAGAATAAGTAATTTACCAAAGTACTATACGCATTCTGAATGCAAACAAACACACAGAAACAAGTATTCGAGTACGCTTACTCGCACTTGCGGTGTTAGTAGAGGATTTACCCCTCAAAATGAGTTACGCACTCTATTTTACTCTATTTTTGGCGAGTATCACTTGCGTTGTATATTGACAATGTATTTGAACGCGACTCGATTTAAGAAGCGCCATCTCTTTCACGCCAGGTTCTAATATATTTTTTTCTTGCAAATAAAATTGCAAAATTGTATAAATTGAATAAGTTTTGCAATAATAATAACGAAAATAACTAATAGAATTTATAATAAATAAAAAAAATTGAAAAAAACACACAAATATTTTATATTTATTTATATAATATTAATATAATAGTTATCTTTGAAGATTAAAATAACAAAACAAAACAAGAAAAATGAAAGACGAACAATTTAATAACATATAAAAACTTTTGAAATACCATTTCAAAGCCGATTATATAAAAAAATATTACATGGCAAGCGATGAGTCAGTGACATTAGACCATGTTTTCTTAGAAAGATTATTCTTTCCATTTTAAAGAGTAAAATTTATTTCATTGATAATTGGATTTAGATCAAAAAGGAAGTGTAAAGGCATGCCAGTACAAAAAACCAATATATAGGGTAACGAAAAAAGTATTCGATAAAGAATACATTAAGACACAGCAGATAACCAATCACATGTCAGAAGTGATGAATTCTGCCACACAACCCAGAACTTCTTCGCAAAATGCATGCATAAAAATCGCAATCTGACAGAGTTTGAGAGAAAAGGGACCGTCGACAATAGACTGGCCCCCAAAACACAAAAGTTGAAATTTTTTCATTCTTACCTCGGAATACTTTTCCATATGGTTTGCAAATAACGTGTGTAAAGTTTCATGTCGATAGCTAAACGCTAGATGGTGCCGGAAGAGCTCGGTAGGTCATTATGTGAATTTATTGAAAAATGAAATTTTCAGTTAAAATAAAAATATCTTCGCACAACCATATCGACTAAAAATTGATGGTAATCGTCATTTTCCATCAAACACTTGCCACTGGTGAAGTTTCAAATGATTTGAATGAAAATAAAACACATTTCCATTCAAAATTTTTCTATTTCATCACCAAAAATGAAGGATTTGTACCAAAAGTACAACAGACCTCCACAAATTAATCACATATCAGAATACTTTCAGAGCAAAACTAATGTGATTCCACTTTGGTGTACATCCATTTCAACGCATCGTATAGCTGGAACACTGTCATTTGCATAGCAAATTGTGAGCAATGAACGTGGGGCAAAAATATGAATATGAAACATGATTTATCCGAACTATAATTCACTTCTAAACCTATTTCAATAACTGAATTCAATCAATTTTGACTGTAAAAACAATATCAATGCTGTTTGAAAGCGTTCTGGCATTGCTGTACTGGCCGGGGTGAAGGTATGTTTTCAAGTCGCAATATAAAATGGATCATTTTATGAAGAACCAAAAGTGACATTCAATTGGTTTTCAATCATATATTTTATGCTTAAATCGATAGAATATCATGAAATATCACATCTAGAGCCGTTCAAGTGTTATCAAGTTATCAAAATTAGGAATTTTTCGATTAGGTGATAAATATCTTTTAAAGCAGTTTTCTTTAAAAAAAAGTGCACACTAAAAAATCAAACATTTTACTTATAGATACTGTTGGCTACGAACGTTCTTTCGTTCGTAGACAATAGAAATAACATTTTGGTTCGTTCGTAGAAATTTAAAAATTAAATTGTGTTCGTTCGTAGAAATCGTAAAAAAAAATTTGTTCGTTCGTTCGTAGATTTTGAAAAATAAAAATTTCGTTCGTTCCTTCGTTCGTTCGTAGCGTTTTTTTCTTTCAAAGAGGAATTGTAAAAACTCCCCAACATTTATGTGTGCGTGAACATAATATGTTTTTATACGAATGAATAAAGGTTGACATATAACCAACTTCATGCTAGTGCTATGAATTAAATTTTGTGAATTGATGGAAATTGTGAAAATTAAATAATAAGTGAATGTTTATTAAAATATTGTTAGTACAAAAAATGTTTAAAAATTTATTTTATTCTAAACAGATTAAGAAATTCCAAAATAATTAGTTCATTTTTAGAAATATCATAGAATTTTCAAACATTATTTTCATTCCGAATTTACTAGTAGCATGAAGTTGGTTATGAATGGTTCGGTCGAACATGTTTTTTGACATTTTGTTTTGTTTGTGTGTGAGTAAAAGAGTGTAAGAAACTGCGTTAGAGACTTTATAACAGAGCATCTTGATTTGCTGCTGCTCAGCATATAGCTGAGAGCTGAGAAATGCTGAACTCGTGCGGCTAACGCATACGAAACGGATGGCACGCACACATGCATTCTCCCCGTTTAAACGGTTATAAACAGTTGATTGGACGTTCAATTCAAAACTCAAAACTTAGTAACCAGTTGAGTTTGAAATTGTGTTGCGACCGACATATGAGAAGCTGCGAGAAAAACATCACGTCGCATCCCTCGTTATTTTGCTTACGTAAGTGAAAGCAAGAGATGAGATGCGACGTGCTGTTTTTGCTCTCAGTCTTTCATATATTCTGAAAGTGTACGTCTAACGCATACGAAACGGATGCACGATACATATTCCCCTTTCACTTCGTATGTTCGCTGGTATAGTGTGTTACCGTTGTACTGGCAATAGCGTCAACGGCAGCACATACGAAGCGAAAGGGGAATATGTATCGTGCATCCGTTTCATATGCGTTAGCCGCACGAGCTCAGCATTTCTCAGCTCTCAGTAATATGCTGAGCAGCAGCAAATCAGGATACTCTGCTTTATAAAGGCATTTGACATTACCTCTTTTCTTAATATTTTCATAATTTTCTTAATATTTGAAATATAGATGTGCCAAACCCGAGGTGTTAATACAATTGTACAATATTATGATGATATTTTAAAACCAATCATGAGTATTATTTATTAAGAAAGATCATAATATGGCGTATTACAATGAGTATCAAGTATTATGATACCGAAGTTAATACTCGCCATTTGCAATTTTGCACAGAAAATACAAGTGGGAGTTGTGTGTTAATAGAATGTCGATTGTAAACAAGTATGAATGCACGGGTGAGCGAGACATTTAAAAAAAAAAGATTTGCCTAGCTCGATTTCGGTGACAGAGATGACAAATTTTTACGTTCTGTTCATAACACATGATATATATGACTTAGCTGTGTTCGAGAATTGTTTTGTGCTCGATACCGAGAGTTTCATATAAGGTTGCCATGTAGCAGCCAAATAACACCCATTAAATAATATGCGAATGCCAATCGTGATTGAGATAATAAGGAATGCGATTTTTTTTTCATTCTGATCGGACCAGGTGATACAGAATTTTTTTTGAGATTTGTTGCCATCTATATGGGAGGCTTGTATGAAAAACACAGAAGACCGCTGGAATGACACTATCGGACGCTTGTACATATTTTGTATTTGCCATTCCAACGGTCTTCCGTGTTTTTCATACAAACCTCCCATGTAAATGGTAAAAAATCGCGAAAAATGAAAAAAATATTTAAACTTTTTTCTTCAATTTACAAATACTTCTCAATTTTCTGTATCATCTGATGAAATCAGAATGAAAAAAATAGCATTCCTTATCAACCAAATCAGGATATGGATTTATTTTTTATTTTTTGAAAAAATTAATTATTTTTTCATTATTCGCAAGTTTTCATCATCTACATGGCAACCTTATATGAAACTCTCGGGGACTCGGTATAGAGCACTAAAAGTAAAAAAAATTAAATTTTTTTCTTAATTCTCGACCACTTCTATCTATAATTTGAAATAAAAAATCGCTACGAACGAACGAACAAAATTTTTATTTTTCAATTCCTACGAACGAACGAACGAACACAATTTAATTTTTAAATTTCTACGAACGAACGAACGAACAAAAATGTTATTTCTATTGCCTACGAACGAACGAACGAGTGTTCGTAGATGTTCGCAGCCAACACTACATATAGATATGAATTAAATGGCTGAAAATTTTGAATGGAAATGTGTTTTTTTTTTCATTCAAATCATTTGAAACTTCAGCAGTGGCAAGTGTTTGATGGAAAATGACGATTACCATCAATTTTTAGTCGATATGGTTGTGCGAAGATATTTTTATTTTAACTGAAAATTTCATTTTTCAATGAATTCACATAATGACCTACCGAGCTCTTGCGGTACCATCTAGCGTTGAGCTATCGGCATGAAACTTTACACACGTTATTTGCACACCATATGGTAAAAGTAAACTTATTACAACAATAATTAAAGCATCGAAATCTAGAATCACAAACACATGGTAATCCATTGACGGTATGCAATGTGCATTCAATTGTGAAATTGAAAATACGAAACAAATCACTTTCATTGTGTGGAATGTGGATATTAGAGGTGTCAACGAGCGTTCGTTTTCGTGTCCGTTCGCGTT